CAGGCTGGCCTCGAACTCACAGAGATCCGCCTGGCTCTGCCTCCCAAGTGCTGGGATTAAAGGCGTGCGCCACCACCGCCCGGCAATAAATGTAATTTTAAGGGAGAAAAGTAAATTCTGTGAGCTACATTAGCAATCTCCTTGCCAGGTATACTCAGTGGTGTAATAGGGGTATGAATGTTACGAGAGTAACCATCCATCTTCTGGCTGGACTTAAAAGGCTCAGTTCATAAGATGGAACCCATACCTGACACTTAATGAGACCAAGAACCTCTGAGAGCTAGATCACGGACCCCAGAGAAATCTACAATTATTCTGTTAAATGAACAAAGCAATAAAAGGATTCCTAACAACATACTGTTATACCCATAGAAAGAAAGGTGTACCACTGAGCCTCATTAGAGATGACTTCTTACAGCAGAAGGCAATTAACACAGAATCACAACTGGACAACATGCAGAGAGTGAGAGACTTTGAAACACTGAGATCTAGATGGAATCAAGGCTCAGGGATCTATGCAAGAGCCAGATGACTCCATGATAACAGCATTTTCCAGACACAGCAGGTGTGATACACATATGAACTCACAAAGACTGTGACAGTATGCACAAGTTTAAACCAGACAAAATCCCAACAAAGAGAAGGGTAAGTGGGCAAATAGTCCAACTCCTACCCAAGAACCTATTTGCAATTGACAACTGCTGGGAAAGGGAAAAACCTTTTTTTTTTTTTCTTTTTCCCAGTGGAGAGACAAAGGGTGTACCAACCACACCTCAGGGAAGGCTGAATGCTCAGGAATAGTGGCCAACACAAAATGGACTCCATGTTTTTGTTTTTAATTTTGATTTGGGTTCTTAATTATTTTGTCTTTTTATGAGAAAGAATATAAAATTGGTTGGGTGAGTGGGTTGAGTATCTGGGAAAGAATATAATCAAAATATATTGTATGTTTTTTTAATCTACAAAAGAACAGAAATGAAGTTGTTTAATTGCAACAGAACCACGTAAAAGACAATTCATATGCACTTACCTTTTGACATAAACTCAGTGACAATATAAATTGGCTCTTCAGAAACAACTGCATACAGCGGAACAAGTTTATCATGTCTTAATTTCTTCATTATCTGAGCTTCTTGAAGGAAAGATTCTGGCATCATTGTACCTGGCTTTAGTGTTTTGATTGCTACTTTTGTGGTTCCATTCCATGTTCC